AAAATACTTCGTAGTTCTCTGTGTGTAGTAGGTTACTACGTTTAGGTACCTATTGTTTTTGGTTTGGATTGTTTGTTTTATAAATTTTTAGCTAACTTCATAAAATCGATTTTAACCCCTTAAGGAGTAAGGGATGATTTCCGGGATAAAAAGTTTTCTATGTCAATAAAAAGTATCATAATATATCCAGAGATTACCCCCTACAACGTCACAAACTCACAAACTTTACCTCTTTATAATATTAGTATAGATGAATTATGTAATATCAAATTTATAAATACTTATTGTCCCTAATATTTATAAATTCCTTTTGCCCGTGGCTTTAGTTGCGTAGTTTAATTCGTAGTATATTTATTGAAATGAGGTAGTTCCAGAGATTATCGCGTGCAAACAAACAAAAAATGAAATAGTCGCTTCTATAAAATGAAACTCTTACTCAACATAGCTTAAAAAAACTCGCTCAAAAAAATAAACAGTTTTGGAACATCTATATATTGCATCTGTATAGTTGGCGACGTAACGCCATTTGCGAACCAAATTGTTAATTTACTTTATTTATTGCTTCTTTATAGATTCGCCTGTTAGATTACAAATACGCAAATATAAAAGCTGAAAGATTTACGTTAAAAGTGTCTACGTTACATTTGATTGGCAATGAGTTTATTTTGCACTGTCTGCGAAGTAATACGCGCGTTCGGTTCGCGTTCAAGTCAAATTTTGTCGGATTATTATTATGAATGTGAAAGTTTGTGTATGTATGTTTGTTACTCGTTTATGCTGAAATAGCTGAACAAATTTAGATAAAATGTACTACACAGATAGACGACACGTTTGGCTCAGTTTGTAGTGACCCTACTTTCTGTGCCAGCGGTCGCGGGTTCGAGTCCCGCTGGGGGCATTCATTTGTGTGATGACGAATGTTTGTACTTCAGTCATGGGTGTTTATATTTATAATATGTATGTATTTAAAGTTATATATGTGTAGTGTATCAACTATCTGGTATCCATAATACAAGCCTCGTAGCTTACCATGGAACTAGATGGCGCTGTGTGTTAATGTCCCAACATATTCATATTTATTTATTTATAGACTTGGACCTCGAGTAATACTTGCCTATATTAGCAACTATAAGGCAAAATGACTAGTCCTGAGAAGAACTATTTTTATTTATTTTTTAAATTAATTATATAAAATTAAAAAGTAATATAAATGTTATCGAATATTGAACATCATACTCAAGGTATGCTGTTTTTTATAATATTATTTATTGAATAATAATAATTAGCATCCAAATTTTCTCTAACATTTTTTTTACTCTGCTGAATATTACCATAAGGATTTTTTAACTCCTATGTCTGCATGTCGGCAATGACTTGGTATGTAAGCTGGTAAGTAAGGCTTCATGTGAAGGTTTCCTTCTTTGATCTAATCTAGTAGAAATAAGATACTAAAAATTCACGTTCGTATACATTTTTAAAAACTTTAGTCGTAGCTTAGACAGAGTAATAAAAAATTAAAAAGATTGATGCCAGAATTGTTAAAATACACACGCTAAAAACAAAATTCATCCATTTTAATATCTAGCAATTAACATTAAAGTGTTGTTATCTTTATAACATTTAAAACATTTATTCGATCCAACTATAAATACCACATACTATGTTAGATTTTATTTATATATTTGTTTTTCTGTATATAAAACACATTTGTTTAATAAACATAGTCCATATAAAAGCTAACTCTCATCTATAACGTTATTTACAGCGGTTTCACTTCTAATTTGCATCTAGTCAGGTCTATTACGCGACTTGAAAGGACATTAAAATTTATCAAGTATTAATGGTTTCAACTTATCGACTATCACCTTATCTTATGACTCGACACCTGATTTTAAACACACTTATGCTATATATTATACTGTAATAATATATTTTTGGTCATAATCTATAAAAAATATTGTTACGGGGTTATACGAGCAGTTCGTGTTTTGGGGTTGAGTTGGTTTGAGTGTGACAAAAAAACATTAACATGTTTTGGTGTTTTGGTCGTCTTTTTTACATAAATTTATCTGAGAGCGATTATAAAGGTTTAAATAGAACTTGTTTGTTACACAAATAATATGTCTAATATGTCTCAATAATAACAGATCATCGTCGTCAAATAGCTGTTAATTAATGTTATTTTTCAATATAAAAATTCCTTAATCTTTAGATTTTATTACATCGAATTGTATATTTTGGTCTGTACAGTTATTCTTTATATGATTACTTAGAAACTATTAAAAATAATAATGTTATTAATGTTCCTACTGATGTCCATAATACTATAGGTACTAATGCAGATATTATAACAAACAAAAACAAAACGGTCTAAACTCAATAGGCAATCATAACCAAACAGACAACAAACAGCAGCAGAAACAAATCGCCAAAAGTTGCCGGTCTGGTATATTATTATTATTAAATTTATATAAACGTCAAAATTAATAAATTATTACACATATAAAATACGATCTTTTATGTAGTTGTTTGATCAATTTTTCCTTTCCTCTTGAGACGCTATGTAAATTAATAAAAAAACATAACAAGTAATATTTATTTAGCCCAACATTGCTTTCTATTTTTCCGGTTTTTCTTAATAAAATTAAATATTTTAGTAGTATTAACTCTCACTAGTTTTCGCTTATTAATATAAACAGGATGCATTTATCGTGCATAATTTTGCAAAATAGCTACTTCGATAGTAATATATATTAGTTGTTTCCTTATAATCATTTGGTACAGTGTGTATGCGTGTGATAAGGCCTAGTAGAGCTTCCTGTCCGAATGATTCATATCACTAAAGACTTTGATCGCGATGGTATACCGAGATGTAGGAAGATCACGATAAAACCATCCAGATGTTGGATAATTGACGCTTTAGATCGATACATTGATTGTATTGACGTTTAGAAACGTTTTGAATTAGTTTTATACTTTCATTTTCAACAGGTAATATATTTATTAGTAAAATGAATGGTTGGCTATTTACATTTTGTTTTTTAGAAAAACTACTTTTAAGTTTCTTCTTAGCTCGTTTCAGCAAAATTATATTCCGAGTCGGCGGTACCTATCTTTTCACAGACTGACAATAGTGACTGAGAAGTGATTAAAAGGTGTTGAAATATAAAACTGAATAAAGGTTTGTTATGCTAAGTTTAAAAGAAAAGCAAGTGACTTATCACGTTGTGCTCATTTCCATTTTTTATGAAAATCAGTCTTGAGATTTAATTCTCATTCTACATGCTATGTAGATTGTTACACATAGTCAAGACTATTAAAAGACAACCACAACGTGTAACATGCTTTCTTAAGATTTCCACAATTAGCGCAATTTGTGTTAATGCGACTGAGATCGTAGATAACGTCGAGCTGATGCGATCGTGTTTGTATGTCAGAAGGTCAGATTTCATTTGTTATTTTATGAACTTTGTTAACTGATGCTATATATTATTTCCCTTTATAATTAAAACAAACAAATAAAGAAACAAATAAATATCACTATTATAAATTATAATATATTATTGATATATACATACATATCTGCTGATGTAACTATATAAAGGACGAGCGACTCACCCTCGCTCCACTCGGGTTCGTCTCTACTTACGTTTTAAGGTTTAGTAAAGATTTCTCAGAAATGAGATATTTTCCCACAGTAAAAAGTATCCTATATGTTGACCTGGATAACCAGCTATAACTATATCAAATTTCATCAAAATCTATCCAGTGGTTTTATAGTGATGCGGTCACAGATAGATAGACAGACAAAAGTTTTAAAAACTATAAGAGTCGATCTCTGAATCGATAATAATGACTAGTTCAATAAGATTTTCCAAAACATATTTAATGTACAAATTCGGCTCGGTTACAATTTTATTATATGTATAGATGTATAGACAACAAGAAACACCGTCGCGTCTACATACAGCTGCCGAAAGAATGTACTTGTGTTCTTCAATCCTTTCCTGAACGCTAAAACTTTTATCGCTACCAAATCGACTGTCGTAAATCCCAAGTCGCGGTCCATTGTTGCCGTACACTTATATGGGAGCGGCCAAAATAAATCACGAGCAAAACCATATCGGCACAAACGTAGTCTATCGCTCGGATCGACCGCGGGTTACATCGAGAGATACGGAGTATTACGCTATTGAATTAGCATTACCGCTGTTCACAATATCGTTTCAGCTGAGCGCATGCCTCATTCATCATGGTCGTATTATTTTAATTTCTGTCGTGCGTCCGTTTGAGGAGGACAGTCGGTGGAATCGTGCAAGATCTTGTCTCTAAATAGAATTAGATGCATAATCTTCATAACTGAGTCCTTTTTGAAATCTCATACCACCTGTGAACGTTTGATGGCTTCCCAACGCTTCCGATCATGTCTCTACGTAAGAAAATTGACTGCAACCATTATTATCGCGTTAATAAATATTATCAACTTTTTTGTTGCAGGTTGATTAGCGACCTGAATGATCTTCGCATCTACGGCTCCACCTATTAAACGTAAGTTAATAACAGCTTTAACATGTATTCTTCCATAAATTTTAATTAAATTTATATCTTCATTAGGGGTCATTGATATGTGAATGAAGTTTCGTTAGAGAGCTTTTTGACGCGTGCCGCTGCTTAATTTATAACCAATATATTCTTGATGTCGATGACGTTTGCACCGTCTGTGTATCAAACGTTGACCTGATTATGTGTATAGCTCGATAAATAGTCTCTCCATTCAACTTGTTTATTCTATCGATAAACTTTCTGGCTCTATCACATATCTTATTGAACTATATCTTTCTGACAGGCAAATAAAACAATTATTCAATTAGGCTACCTCGCGCCATATTCGATTGTTAGTTGACCGCAGGCCATCTTCAATCAGTTGAAATGGACTTAATATACGAGATATGTCTAATCGGATGTAGCGGTCGGATATTGAATAATAATTGGTGCACACAATGTTAGAGCCGGCGTCACGATGGAGATGGTATCGGGCGAGCGTGCCGCATCCATCAGGACTGGAGGGGCGCTATCTGCACCGGTATCGCGTACCAACGATAACCATTGTCTTACTGGTCGATTATATCAGCGAAATTTGTGCTCGGATCTGCCGTTTGTCTCTCGCCGCAAATGAGAGGTAATAGAACCCGACGGCGCATAAAAGGCGCGTTTGTGCTAAACTTTTGCCTAGTCATTAATATGTCGTGGGAACTTAACCTTATCGATTATTATTATTGGGCAAGATGTTTCTAGATTGTCATTCGAAATAACGTAAAATTATAATTAATGTTAAAACCATATATGTACAGATTACATTGCTTACCCATTCAATAGATTACGACCGGATAAATTCTATTTAAATACCAAAGCGACATTAAACAAATTATAAAGTTATGCTCACGAAATATTAAATATATTCAGTCATTAATACTAAGCCGTTTGCAAATGAACGGACGGTAAAGTTCAACGGCGATGGCCCGGGCCACTTAATAGCGTTAGCATCATTGTCTCGCGGTCATTAATAAGTGCTCGGACAGTTCTATTGGCCGCACTCCATAATGGGTCGAGTCTGCTCCGCTATGATATCACGAATTCGTATCCTAATAACCCTCGGGGTATATATCGAGTGGAACCAGAAACCAAGTCGTTCATGCCCCATGTACTTCCCGAGATCGCTTTAATTTATACCCGATTTTCATATTACGATCTTATATTTATAGTGCGTTGGAAATGAATATAAATAAATTTTATTCGTAATTGAATGTCTGATAGTTAACTCAATGGGAGTCGAATATCTGGCAATCAACTTAAATAATATAAGAGAATATTTATGAGAGGTTTACGCCAAGGAATATAAAGTCGAAAGCAAAGTTTAAAATAATTGTGACTTTTAAAGCAATTTGTTTTATGATCATTATAATTAAGGTACTTTCACGTAATTTAAACTTAATTTATCCATAATAATACGTTCATAATTGTTTTCTTGAATACAAGTATTAAATAAACGTACGTAGGCAAAAGACGTAAAACATTAATTAGAGATGTTTTGGGTAAACATAAGGCTATAAGCTGGTTTACAATGACGTGATTGCAATAAACTTCCCCCGTAATTTCACATACATACAGCACATTATAAAACTATGATAATTATAGAACTACCTAGTACCGGTATATTTCTGTTAAGACTTATCTTCTTTTATATGAAATGGATATTAACTATTAAATGTTGTATTGGACTTCATGATAAATTCGAAAGTTTGTATGTGTGTATGTGAATGTGTATGTTTGTTTTTACTCCTTCACGGTAAAACGGCTGTATAGATTTGGTTGAAATTGAGTATGTACACATATAGGCTATGGTATGGAGAAACACAATAATGAAATTAAAAATTATAAGAAAAGGTATATTTAAAATAGAACATGTATGTTTTAATAATGTACGTAAATATATAAGCAAGGTGGATTATAAACTTTATCACTACATAGTATAAAACAAATTCGCTTTCCGCTGTCTGTCTGTCCCTATGTATGTATGCTTAGATCTTTAAAACTACGTTGATGCGGTTTTTTAATAGGTAGAGTGATTCAAGAGGAAGGTTTATATGTATAATACATGCATATTATAGTACAGAAAAGCCGAGAAATTCAAAGATTTGTATTTCATACTAATCGTTACAACGTACCTAGGGACGAACCCGAGCGAAGCGAGGGTAAGTCGCTAGTTCACTATAAAATCACTCAGTTTTCTTGTACAAGAACATCAATAATTCTGATTACATCAAGACTACTAAATCGTATTTAGCAGCTGTAAATCCAGTTGACCGCTGCGCACGCGTTGCCCGTCAATTAGGTCCAATTAGGGTGACGCTCGCCTTTGATCCACCGACCCATGTCATCCTGACTTCTCCTGTTTATACGAGACCACGACAGCAAAAAGTGCCATTTTATTTATTTATACACCTCATAGGTCATTGTACGCTTAAATTGTTTGTTTTTATTGAAAAACGTGTTTATGAAATTTTAAACAGGTGCATAGGACTCGTTTGTAGAAAAGTACTCAGCAAACGCTTTTGATTTTATGTTTTATTTAACCTATGTAGTGTTTTGGGTTTGTGATATTTAATTTTTATTAAGTAGGTACATGTCATCGCTCACCGTTTCGATTTTTATAACCATTTTGCATTTTATAACCTATATATTAAGGAAAATTATAGGCTCTCACAGTCACAGAGAGACACATGAATAAATTAGCAGGTTCAGTCCCGGGTAAACACTAGTGTTGTTATATGTGGATAGTGTTTCTGTCCTTTCATTAAATAAAGAGAATAGTTACTAGGTAAAAAAAACCAAATTCTAATTTTTTGTAACATCATAATTTGAGCGCGTGTTAGATTTCTGCGTGCTATTGGATCGTGCTTTAAGAATATTCAAAACTATTCTCATCTATTATTATATTAACGGATGTCAAGTAATGGCTGTACCTACATAGCTTATTCTTCTGTCATTTTAAAATGAACTGAAAAAAAAACATTAATTCGATTTGCACAAGCATAAAGCCATTAAAAACGATTCTAGGAAGCGTTAATAATATTCATTATCTGAAGACAACAAGCGACATTCGCGGACGCCTGCGCTCATTTGTTATTACATGCCAAGATAAAGTTGACGGTATATTTCTTAATTGCTTATTGCACGATACAGACACTATCGGCCACTATTTCCAACATAATAAGCATTATCATAACAATAACAAGTAACTAGCGGCTTCGAATGCTTATGTCGAATACGATAACCTATGGATCTCAGTTCGCTCTTGGTATTGATCGCGTCGACCACGTCACTTATGTGCTTTTAAATATTGTCATATTCATTAATTTGTTTTTTTTTTTTAATAAATTCTTCAATAATAATTAATTTTTTTAACGTGATCTGTACGGTTAGTTTTTAGTTATAATTTGTGTGATATTGCTTGGTGATTGTTGAAGCGCATGCGGTTTTAGAATACAGGTGAATACTTTATAATTTCATTATTTTTATACTATCTTTGGGTTATCTTTAGAAGTGGAAATAAGATTGTGAAAGAGCTAAATCTTTTTGTGACAAACCAATATAATAAATGATATCACAATCCTATTAAACCAACTCTACAAATGTTTTAAGTTTATAAATGAAAGCTCTAAATTAATCGGTATAATTTTAAAAGTTCCGCTCTTAGAGGCGTAATGAACTTATCAATAACACGATATAATGATAGAGGCTGCATAATGTGAATATGAGCTATCCAATTAAGCTATTGAAGCGATGACCTCCCAATACTATTTTATGTGAGTTAAATTGTCAGAGGGCATTCATATACAGTTGAATGAAATTCTTTACATCTCAATCTTTAGGCAGGTTGATTTATCACCTCTTGTTTACCCAAGGACAAGGGACGGCGTTAATTCTTTTGAATGTGCAGTTGTAATAATGAAATGCCTAGCTTAACTACTCTTTAATAGTACCTAGAATACTAATATTGTTACATGCCTACAACATTTATATTTATAATAAATTGTGTAGTACACTTTATGACTTAGAAGTTATAGATAATTACAACTGGTAAATGTAATGCTATAAAAATTTAACAGTTTTGTTTCTATCTTAAAGTAAGATAGAGTTTGTGTAAGTGTTGTAAGAAGAGTTTTGAATGTCACCCTGGCTGTTTTGAAGAATTTCATTTTCATGCTCTAATCAATTTTTGATGATTTAATTTACATTACTTGTTATATTGTATTCAACCGTTTTTAACGTCCCACTGCTGGGCACTTGCCTCCCTTAAGTACGAGGGGGATTAGGCCATAGTCCACCACGCTCGCCAAGTGCGGGTTGGACTTCACATGACTTTTGAAAACTTGCTAGGTTCTCTCAGACGTGCAGGTTTCCTCGCGATGCTTTCCTTCGCCGTTAAGACAACTGGTAATCATGTTGGAAATGATTCGCACATGAATATATTAGAGATGCGAGAACCGGGATTTGAACCCGCTTCACTCGGTTTCCCACGCGAGCGCGATACCACTGCCATTATACTTAAAACTTGTTATATTATTATCACTATATATTATTACTATATAATATACATATAAATAACGTGATCTCGTTGTTTCAAATGCATTTAATATGAATTTTGCCGTTATTGTATTAAATAATTTCTGAATTTTTTTTTATATTTACTCATAAACCTAAAGTATTTAGTCGCTGATTTTATTATTGAAATAAATACAAAACATTCATTATACTCTACTAATTTACCTACTCACTTTTAGTCCATTTAATATTTTAATACAGTTTTAGAAGTTTTTTTACGAAGTTTTCCTTTGCTACATAGAATAGTTTTGATGAATTATACGATGTAGCGTGAGTTACCGTTATGGCAAAAGTAAACGTGCTGTCGTATTTGTTTTTTTTGTACACATAATATTTCATTCTATTCAACCTGGATATTTGATGTACGTACGTACTGTCCAACATTATCATTCTTTGGGCTATTATTGAAATATACTCGTACTATTAAAATACCTATATTGTAATGTTGTTTAGAGCGTATTAGAGACTTGAATTGAGTGGTTTTTGAAGCTTATACCCTGATATTATGTGTCTTATTGAAAATAATGTTATCTGCAACAGTCAAAAGGAATTTGTGAGGAATTTTTTTATGCCCTTTTGAAATGTATTTCTTTGTCTGAATTCCCGGCATCGTAAGCATAGCATATGCAAATGTATACATGCCTGCGCTAGTGTAAAATAGAGCCGGTGTCACTCGGCTGACCCGCCGCCACTCTGAATATATTACGGAGAAGACAATTGTGTTTGCCTCAACGCGACACCAATGGTAGCATTTTTTCCTTCAAACATATTCTATTTTGAATAGTTAATTACTGTTATAAGCAATTTTGCATATTTGATTTTTTAAGTATTTCCTTTTTGTGGCTCTATTTTTATACATATAAGATATAAGTACATGAGTGATAGTTTTAAATAATCTCTTACTACTAATAACTTACTTATTGTACCTTATCTAATACTTATCTAATATGCTTTGATGTTAAACGTCGTTGGTTTTTTAAAAACTGATGACGATCATTATTTATTGGTCGATATTCCAAGTGGAAATTAAACGTGTTATATAGGAGACTAGCGATTCACCCTCGCTTCGCTCGGGTTCGTACCTAGTTACGTGCTAGTGTTTAATATCTATTTCTCAGCAGTAAAAAGTATCCAATATGTTGACCCGGAGAACCAGCTATCATCATACCAAATTTCATCAAAATCTGTCCGGTTGTTTTCTCGTGATGCGGTAACAGACAGACAGACAAAAATTCTAAAAACTGTAGATTCGGCCTCTGTATCGATAAAAATGAGTATTCCAATAAGTTTTTTTTCCAAAAAATATTTAATGTACCTACAGATTTGACTGAGTTAGAATTTTATTATATGTATATTTATACATACTATACTACATACTATACTACATACATGCAAATATGTATTACATGGGTAAAGCTAGCTAAACGATTATTATGTAGATTAATATTTTTTTATCTTATTAATATATCTGGTTATATACTTTTTCATACGTGCAATAAAAAGTATTATAAATTATAATATTATCACTCGCGTGTCAGTCAGGCTGTCTGTCACAGCTTACTTTCTACAAATCTTCTGTAATAAGATTTAGATGTATTAAATATGAGCGCTTATATGATTTATCTTAATACTAGTGACTAACTCGCTTTACTCGGGTTCACTCGTGTACTTTTCAACCAAATCCGTCCAGCCGTTTTGACGTAAAGAAATATCAAACATGCAAATATACAAACTTTCATACTTACATACGTGTACATATTGGTACGATAATCTACCTGTAACCTTTCACAGATTCAACATGGTGGTGGTATTGAACGGTGTCCTTGCGGACGAGTGCCCCACATCTGTGAGGGCGCTATTGGCAGCACACCCAGGGTATAGAGATGCGGCAGCCCAATTGTTAGCTGCAGCAGCAAGAGATGTCGGTACCCCTGGACTGCTGTACGTTGGACAGAGGGAAATGGCTGCAGTTGTGCCACATGACAGTAAGTTGTTTTTAGTTACTCTTACTAGCTTAAAAGTCGTCGCGTTAAAAGTCTTTTCTTTATTTTCTATTAATGTTTTGTGGCCAAGAGATAAGGTTATTTGTTTACTTTTAGTTTTTATTTCACAAGATATGCCAGCTCTATTATATTACTTAAATACTTACATATAACGAAATTAAACACATATATAGAACCTAAATGATAGGTTCATTTTGGTCTCCTCACAAGTAAAAAAGGATAAAAATAGCGTTAAAATGATCTATATCTAGACTATTTTGATTAAGAGCTTTTATGAAGTTTTTTTTTTGTTAATCGTACCAAACACATTCCATTAATAAATGATAAAAGTCCTCAAATATTCCAAAGTAAAATAACATTAAAATTGATCTCATCAAATAAAAAATCTCTTGGGAGCTTATTACTGGATACAAACATACATACTATGTGTTAATCCAGGACATGGTCGAACTGTGTGCCAAGTTTCATCCAAATCTGTAAAAGGGGTAGGCGTGATTAAGTAACAATTATTCAAATATCTGCACAAAGTTTCGTGCTTATAGGTACATATTATTATTAGGACTAACTTCCATCTTGAAGATTTAGCATCTGTGGCTTCTTACCAATTAATGTTTGTTGTTTAGTTGACAGAATTTCTGATGTTTTCTTTGATCGACATTTCAAAAAAATTGTGTGATTGTGTTTATGTATTCAGCCCTTTTTAACGTCCCATTGCTGGGCATGGGCCTCCCTTCAATACGAGGGGGATCAGGCCATAGTCCGCCACGCTGGCCAAGTGCGGGTTGGTGATTGTGTTTATGATTAAGTAAAAATAATGAAAATGCTTACTTATTAGGTATTATCTCTTTTTCAGAAAATGTTAGTATCATTGGATCAGATGACGCGACATCGTGTATAATAGTCATCGTCAGGCATTCTGGTAATATAATATGTCCTTTGAGATGAAATACATTCAAAATTAAGTGATTGGGAGTCAAAATTAATACAATTTCCTCCTTCCAGGATCAGGAGCAGTAGCTCTTGCACATTTGGACGGTTCAGGAACCGCAGAAGCAGCAGCGGCTATGGTAGCTAGAGTACAGCAGTTAGCAATAGGATATCCTGAAGGACGATTAGAGTTACAGCTTGTTGGTGGGTTCACAGACCCCCGTAGATACTCGGATGATCTGTTCGCTAATATAATGTGTAAGTAGACTTAGACTTATAAAAAAGATGTGAGAAAAATAAATAATATGTCAATAAAGGAAGGTTACTATTTTAAATGTATTTTAAATATATTAAAACTATTTCACAATGAAACTTGAGGGAACTGCAGATACGACAGAGAGAATATTACGAACAGCTAATTATAACACTATTTCAGGCTTCAGTGTCTCTATTGTGCACTCTCTATCTCTAACTTTTAGGTAAAATAAACTGTAGTTAACGTAAAAAATCGAAAGATTTTTGATTAATCCATACTAATAGGTATTATAAATGTGAAAGTGTGTTTGTTTGTACTTCTTTCACGTCGAAACGTAGTGACGGATTGGCGTGATTTTTTGTGTGGAGGTAGTTAGAGGGCTGGAGAGTGATATAGGCTTTATCGCGGGATTACCTAATTACCATGGAAAAACACTTTATAATATAATCCAAAAAAATATTTATGGTCAAAATTACTTAACTTGGTATTAATGCTCTTCAAAAAAAAATTAAATAAATACGTGTTTGAGGATTTTTCGAAATTCATCCCATAAGGGGGTAAAATAGGGGTTGAAACTTTGTATTAAACTATCTTTTTAGAGATTTTTTTGGAGTTTTAGAGCAAGCTAAGCCGCAGGTTCTGCTAGTAACAAATAATTTAAAATAGTAGATATTGTTAAGTTTAATGTGGAATATTTTTGAACATAGTGTTGACGTCACTTTTCAATGTGTTACCTACCTAGTTTTTATATGTTTTACTTGAATACTACCTACTCATGAAATTTATAAATATTTCCGACTCACTATTTAAATTGTCTTTACATTTGGATATCGATTACGGTGCCAAATGCTTTAAATTTACGAAATAAAGTTACAAATATTTAAACGCGTTAATTACTGCAAAGCGTATTTGTTTTGAACGTAATTGTACATTTGTAATCGTTATTTATTTTGACTTAATCAATTCGTAAAAAAGCGTCTATCACCGTATGTCTATCCAACGTAAATATCCAAGCAATCATTATAATAAGTATTCCTTCTAAACTCTATATAAAGCTAATCTATACATATAATAAAATCCTAAGTGAGTCGAATCTGTAGATTAATTATTTTTTTTAAAGTCTTATTGAAATAATCATCATTATCGATACAGAGGCCGAATCTATAGTTTTAAAAAAAAAATCCGTCTGTCTGTGACCGCATCAAGAGATGAGCAAAACGCATCAAGCATGAGAAAACCACTGGACAGATTTTGATGAAATTTGGTATGATGATAGTTGGTAATTCGAGTGTTGACTCGATATAGGATATAGGATACTTATATGTTGATATAGGATACTTTTTACTGCCGGAAAATATCTCATCTCTGAGATATCTATACTAAACGTTAAAACGTAAGTAGGGACGAACCCGAGCGGAGCGTGGGTGAGTTGCTAGTAAGGAATAATATAACGATAGACGTCAATTCTGAAAGCGAAAAGTTAACAGTCTGAAAATATATTATTTATTTAGTTCATATGTCACAATAATATGCAGTGTTATATGTCACGACAAGGTCACACCGGTGTGGAGCTGTCACTGAGCCAAATGAGTCTCGCAAATTATTGCCAGAACGCAGCGTAGGCGTCTCATTGTTGAATGTTATGTATTCCAATTAGTGCCCCAATAATTTCTCTTCTCATTTAACTTTGTTATAACGCTGACAATATCTGTCGTCCCAAATGAATAAAAAATGTCCAATTTCCTGGTAATTCTTGGATTTTTGGTGTTTACTGATTTCTTTGAAGTTTTTTTGTGCAGTCATTTTTTTAAGTACCAACCGCCAACTGGTGCCACCAGAAACAATAGCCCTCATTAGTACGTTTGTAAATTAATTTCAATTGCTCTATCTAAAAGACAGACATAAACTCTTTAAAGTATTGATATAGTTCCACTTACAAAAACATTTCCCTAAAAATAATATACTTGCTTTATAGTTAGAATCTACGTGATTTTTAACTTTAAATCTCTCATTTTCAGTATCGTTCCATCGTTTAACAGAAGAGATAGACCTAACCCTAGCTTGCTGTTGCGAATTGAACACGGCAGTAGGAGGTGGGTACCCGGCACCCCTCGTCACCGGCGTGGGTGTTGATATACGGGCGGGGGATCTCTTCCCGGCAACGTTTCCTGACAAGGGGCCAGAACTATCCCTTCGATGTGCCAGGCATATAACTGGAGGGTTACACGCGGCGCAGGTAAGGATTAATTTTAAAGATTATATTTTTGTTAACAAAGTATTGATTATTGTATAAATAATTCGTTTTGAATAATAAAAAACGTTATTTATATCTACTCCAAATTAATATTATAAAGAGGAAAGGTTTGTATTTTTGTATGTTTGTAACGAATTAACTCAATAACTACTGGACCGATTTAGATGAAATTTGGTAAGAAGATATTTTGAGATCATGGGAAGGAAGGACTTATTTAGTACAAGTAAATTTAAATCATTTGCTTTATTAGTTAATAGTTTTTGAATTTTTTGTCTATCTAACTTCTGTTTAATTCTTTATAATAATAATGTCGTTTTTTTTTAAATTTTAAATTACATGAAAATTACCTATTATCAAAGGATACATACCAGAATAAGTCTGATAAAGGTATATGCCACGTCAGCTCTATCTGCGTTCCAAGTTTTATCCTAATCAGTTCTGCGCTAATTGAGTAAATAAATATCACCAAAAAATCACAAACTTTTTAAGTTGAAGGCAGTGGTAGCCCAGTCGTAACGCGCTCGTTTGAGAAACCGTGTGAAGCGGTTTCAAATCCGGGTCTTGCACCGCTGATATTTTCATGTGCGAATCATTTCCAACGTGATTATCACTTGTCTTACGGCGAAGGAAAACATCGTGAGGAAACCTGCATGTTTGAGAGAACATAGTAAATTTTCAAAAGACACATGCAGTACGCCAACCCGAGGTTCTACAGCGTGGAGTATGACCTGATCCCATTCGTACTGAAGGGAGGCCCGTGCCCAGCAGTGGGATATTTAAAAGGTGTTCATACATCACAAACTTTCACATTTTTAATCTCAATATGTTTATAATTTCACAGGTTTTGGATATATACGACAATGCTGTGGGCATGTTGCGTATCGGGCCCTTCAATTATGAGCCGCTGAGAGGAGTCGATCTATGGCTGGAACAATCAGATGAGTTCATACTGCAGCATCTCAGTACCACCCCGGCAGTTGAGCCACCGCATTTTGTTCATAATGTATGTAACGTATTCTTATGTATGATATACTCAAATCAATTCTTTTCATATAAAAGCTTAAACATATTGTGACATGACAAAAAAACAGTCAAATTACCTCCTTTCTGAAGTTGGTTAATAAAGTAAAACTAAATTCCAGATCCGATCCACACTGAAGTTCATCCAGCAACATCCATTCCCCGCCGTCACAGTGTTCCCGGACAACCGGCCGCACTACTACCGTCGAGATGAGCAGACTGGATGCTGGGTACATGTGCGTTTCTAGCTTTACTAAACTGATTATACTATGATATATAGTTATTTGTTACAGTGAAACGTAAATTTGTAATGATTTGCAGGTAACATGGAAGATTTGATTGGTTTGAGCGCATTGTAAATTTCCTTAGAGACAAACCTTTATATTTAATCACGCGTCAAATTCAAATATCGAAATAATTTATTCAGCATTAAATTATTACAATTTTTTACTGAACCAAAGTTGGGAGAGAAAAAGTCTCGGTACGGATTAGAACTGACGAAAGAAAAGCAGCGTCACTAAAATTAATTTTAATAATGTGACGGTGTGTGCGGTTTTTTTAAAGTGACACGTCCTTTGTGTGTTGTCAACAGTTTAGCGAAAATAACCGGTTTTGTCAACTGGCAGAGTGTACGCAAACTTGACGGTGAGCCGTCACGCACACATGTAGACTCTACAAGTTTGGACAGATTACTCTACATTGTAAAGTTATCCGTCCAAACATTGGCATATCCCCAGTTATTCTGCCGTCATAAAAAAGAAGGCTGCGTCTTCGTCAAAGTTGATTTCGAGATATTTTTAGTTTTGTCTTAGTACTTAGTAGTAGTTGTGACTCAGTTACGGTGGAGATGGTTATGGTATCTCGGGATTCATAAGACTTAGAGCTTTATGAGTAAAACTATCAAGTAGCATGTTTTTTGCTGATTCCGGATCTGCACTTAAGTCATTTTTGGCCAAATTTTTTGGTAGGGCCTTCTTTTTTATGACGGCAGCATCGTTATATTCAAAGATAAATATTAAGATATCAATGCTCTACAGAGTAAAAAAATAAAGGAAAATAAAGAGTATCGTGTTGAGGTATATGTGTATGTAGTATTGTATCTGGGGTTGTATGGAGGTTTGTCTCAGTAGAGATACTTTCTAATGTGGTTATGAGTGAAAGAGGTAGCAAATTATATAAAAAAATGTTGTAAACTGTTTGGGTTTTTAAAGTGCAATGAATAAAACGTTACGCGTGTTTTTTCTTTACTCCGTATAATTACATACTTTAGAACAATCTAAAGTATTTCAATAGGACATATGTATTTAGTACTTTTGCAAATTTTATTGGACTTTTTTTAAATACAGTGTAATTTATTCAGTTGAATAAATTTTATAATAATTTGAATGTGACGACATTTTTATATATAAGAGAAAGGGAAGCAGATTATAAATGGAATGTTAATTGTGAAAATATGTTTTAATTATTATGATGTTTGTTAAAAAGAATCTTTTTTTTATTGCATTTCAATAGAAACAATTTTATAGCACTTTATGTTTTGATAATTTAAAAGATAGATATAACAATGTATGTAATACGAATTTGCAATTTGTTTTTGGAGAATGGAATGGAATGAGTATGGAAATTTGAGTAAAATGTGCAAAGTATAAACAAATATAGGCATTCAACACCAACGCTAGACGTAAAGACATTTTTTTTACCCGATTAATAAAAAAATATATTTATTTGTCATTTAATATGTATAATTTTTTTTGTTCAATAAGGAGCATTGTTAATTATAAAAACAAATATTGACAAGTAAGAAGTAAATTGACTGCTAAGCTATAATTAATTAAAAATCAAATTATTAAATTAACTTATATGAAATGGAATTAAAAAAAAAATGGCTTATGAAACATTTTCGTTGTGAATAATTCCAAGTTTTTTTTATACCCTTTTTTTCTGAGTAAAAGAAACCAGCGGTACCAGTGATAATAATATAATTGTACCTAAATAATAAATGCATTCCACTGTTATATATTTTATTATTTAATGTTCTACTTAATTTTTTTCTCTATATTACAAAATAAAGTACGTTTTTTAATACATCTTTGATTTATTACTTTAAAAGAAATGATTGTGTTTTTGTGATTTTAAATTATAAAAGGAACTGTTTTTGTTTAGTTGGAGTTTTTGTTTGTTTAGGAAATGATTTAAATTGACTTTTGTATGTAAATATGCTTTAGAGTTATTTTAAGTTAAATGTATTGTATATTTTGACATATCAATGTATAATAGGATTTTTGTTTAAATACTTAGCGATATTCTATTGCTTTTGTATTCAATATTCAATGTACTTCTTTCAGTGGTAACATTATGTATTTTTAGATTAAGGTAGGAACAGATTTAATAGCTATTTTTCATATAGTTTAGTACAAGTATTTTCCATTTAACAATATTCAATTATAGACGTAAAATCTGTTTTTACCTTTACATCTATAAAAAATAACTTAGCGGTTAGTTTTTTTTTAAGTTATGGGTAATAACAAAAACGTACGCTGTAAATATATTAGTGATTTTAGAAAATTGTTAGATACGGCGTTAATAGTTATTGTTTTGTGAAATATGAATATATTGAAAGTTCCGTAGGTGTTACTTGTTTTATTTGTTACAACATTGCCCAAGACCTTAAGTTCATATATTAGTTAATTGCAGAGGTGATCAGGTCCTTATTAGGGTTCCGTACCTCCAAAAGGAACCCTTATAGGTTCACTTCGTTATCGGTCTCGTCTGTCTGTTAAGATCTCTTTGCTCAGGAATGCGTCAATGGTACCAAGTTAAAATTAAGTATTAACATTAAAACTCAGGTCTGCAATCCATTGCAGCTGTGAAAAAATCGAACGTCTAAGTCAACATATTCAAAAGATACGGCCGTTTATGCCGCATATTTGTACACTCGCAAATTAGTCAAAAGCTATAAGGTACTTTTTTCCGTAAAATTCACAGACTATATTTTGCCTGTGCTTTTAAAATGAACGAGATGATAATGCTACGCTACGTTTAATCTATACTACACTGCTCTTCTAACACTAGTAAAACATAATATATTGATCTACAAGCACGGGTTTCGAAAGTAAAACGGTATGTAATATGTTCCTTAGACATATCTCCCAGTAGAGCCTATGTAATCAGGGTGTAAACAAGGAGAACAAAAGCGGCAGCTTAAAAAAAACTTACAAATGTTATAAAATTTAAAAAAAACTTATTATTATTTTAGCATAAGCCGTTATACTATAATTAACCCTCGCTTTGGAAACTAAATGGAGCAGATTCAATCGGGGAGTCGGATTTCTGAGACTACGAGGTGTGAATAATTTTTTACTGATAATATTGTTATTGTTACAGATTATTATTTTTTATTGTAAAAAAAATATTACCTGGTATATTTCGGCAGATGTGTATTTATTCACGTATATTTTTTTTTCAAATCCTACGCCGTTGTATTGAGTCTTTAAAATTAAAGATTACATTTTATAAGCAATTAAAAAAAATCGCTTACTTTTCTACCTACTATTTCTAATCTAACCTACGATTTTTTAAAATTTACGTTCATCCCTTAAACTTAAAACCTTCCTAACTCGATTAGGTTTGACCGGAGGAGAAAAAGTTATGAAACTTTTTTTAAATAAAGTTTTGCCTATTTTTTACCGTTTTCGAGTAATTGCGAAAAAACACTTTTGATATTTTTATTCAACCCTTGCCGGAAGTTGCAGACAAGAGAACCTTTACACATTGTTTTTGTATCATTAAAACTACATTATATCAAAAATGCAAAGTTGAGTGCCAATATTTTGATTTCAGATAATGCTATATAATGCTAATACAATATATATAATGCTAATCCTTTAAATGTTTTAACTCTTGAAAACGCTACATAGGTACTGTTCTTTATCTCTAATATCTAGTACAACAGCTTTGTCTAATGTTAACAAAGTATTAATATATATATATATATATATATATATATATATATATATATATATTATAAATCATTGTGAATAGAATAAAAGTGTTAAGATATTTAGTTAAGTAGTTTTTGATTTTTATCGATAAAAAAATTATACCCGAATAATTATTTTCTTTTTACCTCGACTAGAACTAAAAATTAATATTTATGTAATAAGGAACTTCATTCCTACTAGATGTCTCACGACACTATTTTATTTCGTTAGTCTATACATATAATAAAATTATAACTAAGCTGAATCTGTACATTAAATATTTTTTGGAAAATCTTATTGAAATAGACATTATTATCGATACAGAGGCCGAATCGATGGTTTTTAGAATATTTGTCAGTCTGTCTGTCTTTACCGCATCACAGAAAAACCACTAGAGGGATTTTGATGTGGTATGGTGATAGCTGGTTATCCGGGTCAACATATAGTATACTTTTTATTGCGCGAAAATATTTGATTTCTGAGAAAACATACAAAAACTGCAATGTAAGAGTATATTAATATGTAAACCCTAAGAATTTGGTTTTTGGTTATCTGAACGCGTGCGGAGCCGCGGGCAATGCTAGTAATACAATAAAATTCTAATTAATGAAAATTGTTATAACTTCTAATTTTTTTAAATTGTGGATAAAATAATATTTCTATGATTATCTAGCATTGCCCGCGATGATATAATCTTATAAATTAAGACCAAGCTTAGAGTATACACCAAGACTAAAGAGTGAAGACAGTTTTCGCTCGTGATTTATCATTTATTCATTAGTCTAAATACTAATAAGTTGAAATATTAAATATTATTCTTTATTTATCTGTGCACAGAATTTTGACAATTGACAGTTGTTTTCGTCGGAAGCAGCCGAAGTGATCGAGTATAGTTTATTATTGTTAAAGAGATAACTTTTTATTTTAAAGGCAGTTAAAGTTTAGAAAGTGCTTAAACAAAGGAAAATGGAAAAACCTACTGTTACTGAGCAACCCCCACCATACTCTGCAGCTGTTCCGCCAGGTAAATCTTTAATATTGTTAGAAATTGTAATGAATCCAAATAACTTTTGAGATAAGAGTTTTTGTATTGCGCCACCTTTAAGTTTATTGTAGTGTTATACATTTATTAATTAAATTTTATAACTTATTTTTATATTTTACAAAAAATATTATTTCTATTGATCATGCTATTTCTGTAGGTATATGAATTAAATGATACACTAAATGGCGTACATAAATATATTCAGATTTATTTATCTCCAACTTTTGACAATTATGAGTAACATATTGTAATGTATTTTCAGTCACATTTTCTTTTTCAAAGTATAATTAATTACTTGTTTAATTAGCTGTCCTATACCTACATGTCTATAGTATATACTAATGCCGAATTTATATGATCTGTCATGTAAATACTTATTAAAATTATAAATAATTCAAAAATATGTTTATGTAGCTATGATAGAGGTAGTTGACCTTTGTAATTGATTTGCATTTTGGAAACTAGAAATTCAAAAACTTGTAATGTAAATTAAATGTCAGAGTTGAACTCATTTTATAGGGCTTCTATGTATGTATATATAGGCTACTCTCCTATTACTAAAGGATATCACATTTCAATTGTGTTTTTATTTGATTTGGCTGCAAGTTATTGTTTATAAGTTTTAACAATCACTAATTAGAATGACAGTATATTAAACAGTCATAATAGTTAATATTCTATGTAGATGTAGATAAAATTTAATTTGTAAAATTACCCCATTGTGTCATGTTTATTATCGAAAGCTACAACATATTACCATCATATTTCAGTGTTCTGTGATGTTTCTATATTTTATAACATTTAAATATGTATAGAAACAAAACAGAATTAATTCCACAATAATTAAGTTATTGGTATTTAGGTATTAACTGAAACACAAACTGACTCATTATATACCTATGTGAACATAATCTACAGATAAGAAATCAAACATTTTTACTCTAATTACTGAAAGGATTAAAGGCCTTCTTTGTTTATATTAGTCAATGTTTTGTTTAAATTGTACTGTATGGCCTTCTCTTACTAAATTATTAAGTAATCAATGTTAATTTTAGCATCTCTAGGTATATCTATAATGACAAGGAAAATGTTAAGAAAGTAAAACCAAAAAGAAACTGATAGAGGAAAGCAAATTTTGCCAGACTTGAAGCAGAGACGCTTCACTCGCTCAGTCAATTATACAATGTTCTGTAAGGATCTATCATCTAGGATGTAATTTTATAAAAACAATTTTTATAGAGGTCCAATCCACTTTGCAAAGTATTTATTTAGTAGTTTATTAAATTATATGTAATAAGCAACTATACAACATATATTTAAAATAAAATAATTATACAATGGATGTAAAAATAGGATAAAATCATTTTAACTATAATACAATCTTTGTATAATTAAGTATCTCATATTAGAAACAATAATCTGTTATATTTCAAAGTGTACAAGACTGCTAATTGACGGATTATAAGTACTAAGCAGGCATTCAGTTATACCACAGGTCATATAATACTATACTTATACATATTTGTACAATCCAATCAATGGTCTTACTGAATCAATAGACTAATATGTGTATTTGACATTAAATATTGTCTTTTAATGTCTATCTATTGAAATTTCAATACTAAAAATTCTAAATAGCTTAATCTTCAACACTATATTTGTGTAAATTGTACTAAATTTAACAATTATAAAACTTAATCGGCCCAAAATGACTGAAGAGATTGCACCCATTACATTTTTGTTGCTTTTTGCATTTTGTATACATTGCATGTTGAAATAATATGACAATTTATTAGCAAGTTCGTGCGACACGAATAATAGTTGCCTCATAATTGCTTTTCCTCTTCATTTATACTATAGGAGTGCGCTTACAAAGCAATGTTTGGACTTTTCTTGGCTGCAAGGCTTGTTTTTATAGTTGCATATAAACATTAATAATATCATAACGTAATGTCTTGTATCAATTCAATTATAAAAAATCAAGTGTAATGTTATCTTAATTTACTTTAAAATTGTATAACTATTAACTATCTATCATGGGCTTGATAATTTAAAAAAAATGATTTTTTTAAAATTAGCAATTAATTTCTAAATATTCTATATATTCCGTCATTTTTAAATTCCCACTGTTGGGAGTGGTCTCCCTTTAATATGAGGGGGATCAGGCCATAGTTCACCACAATGGCCAAGTATGGCGGACTTCACATGTCATTAGAAAAGTTGTTAGGTTCTCTCAGACATGCAGGTTTCCTCACGATGTTTTCCTTCACCGTAAGTGGTAATCTTGTCAAAAAGATTCGCAAATGAAAATATCAGAGGTGCGAGACCCGGGATTTGAACCCGCTTCACTCGGTATCCCAAGCGAGCGTGTTACCACTGGGCTACCACTGCTTCGCGTTACCATTGCTTCGCGTTACCACTGGGCTACCACTGCTTTTCGTAATATTACCATAATATAATATTAATGTTTCATGCTCATATTGCTATAAATAAGTAAATAGGCAAAGATATGTATGAGTACATATATTGTGTAAATAAATATTGTAATTTAGAGTCAACTAATTGAATTTTGCTAGTATATTTCATTTCTAAGATAGATACATATTGTATATTGTTGTATTTGTTTTTTTCAGGACAGCAACATTCATATCCACCACCGCCGCCACAACCGCAACCACAACCACAGGGCGCATTTCCTCCACCACCTCCTGGATACACCCCCTATGGTACTATCCCTCAAGCTACAGCATTCGTTCCAAACTATGGAGCTACCAACGTAATAATACCACCCACGATAATAGCGGTAGGGGCTTGCCCAGCTTGTAGAGTTGGCATCCTTGAAGACGACTTCACATGTCTTGGCATTTTATGTGCTATTCTTTTCTTCCCAATTGGAATTTTATGCTGTCTTGCTCTTAAAAACCGTAGATGTTCGAACTGCGGTGCTATGTTTGCATAGAACTGGGCAAAATTGGGCTCCATACTTGATATCCCATTAGTACTGCCAGATTTGAATTAACAGTTAAATCATTAAATATATGGTTCATGATTTATAAAGCTTAGTTTAAACAAGTATCATTAAAGACATTTTTAGGAACTATAAAATACTTGTTATTTGTATAAATTTGACCAATTTACTAAGTTAAAATTGACAAAACTTTAGTTTTACTTAATATACCTGATACTAATGGGATGGATTTAAAAAAAGCTATGAAAGATGGTACCGTCCAAATTTTCATATTTTGTTAGGAGAATAAAATATGAAACTTGTTACATAGTGGTAGGACACCAGACATGGTATGGAGCCTTCAGCAGTTACAGGTAGGATTTGCCTATTTGATTGGTGTTACCAATTTATTTACATTGTTTCATTACAAATATAATTTTTATAAAATACTTTGTACCAAAAACTAAGATGTAGATAAATTTGGCAACATTTACCTTAACAATATTGATAAACAATAAACATTGAGTCTAAAATAATTATTTTTATGTAGAAAGTGTCATTAACTTTTAATTATTCTGCATAATTATATAAATGTATCAACTTTATTCATCACATAATTAATTTGACTTTGAAATATTTTTTCCTTAAAGTAAAAAGATAACAATTAAAATCATTTGTCCCAAAACAAATTTGACAAAAGAATGATTAAAATTGAAATAAAGCCAACAACACACTAGAACATTGATTACTTATCATCAATTTTATATCTCTTTTTTAAACGATTATAAGAAGCATAAAAGCACAGTAATAATACCTAAGAATAATGTATAGCCCAAACGTTGAAAAATATATTTCTATTTTTTTATTTAGAACATTTATATAGCATTGTTTTATGTAATACAATTTATTATTTTGTTTTAATCAGAAAAAAGTTACTTTTGGTAAATTATGAAATATCATCAGAATGTTTAAACAACTGTATTTTAAAGAATATTCTGCAGCCACAGAATAGAAGAATAAGATAGAGGGAGTGTGCTAAAAACATTTATTGAAACCTGAAATTATTTATTATAACCATTAGTTTATAATACTTGTAATTAGAACTAACAAAAATAAAAATACAAATACAACAAATAATAAAATAATATCAGATTTGTTATATTTTGTTGCTGACATAGACAGCATTGTTTAACTTAACTTTTTTACTTTATGTTAAGTGTATCTTATTCTTTTAATCTGCGATAATAGCTTAATCAGGGTTTTGTAGTTAGAACAATAAATGTGAATGGAGAGTCAATATTTGTAATAATTACTGTAAAATATTGTAAAAAATCTTTTTATTTTACTTATGATATAACCCGCATACTTTAGAAGCCACAATGAAACTATCTAGTTTCAATCAATTAATGTTATAATTATATATAAAATCATAATCGCCTACATTCAAATGGATCTGCCAAAGGTTATAATTGTTAAATGGAAAACATTGGAGTGTTGGCAACATTAATTAAAAAGTTAATGTGATAAGGAGGGTAGAATATTTTCATATATGTACATAATATGAATATTATATAGACCAAAATACCTTTGAATCAGTCAAAGTACAATGCAAATAAAGATGTTCATCTAAATAATAACTTTTTTATTAAAAAAAAATACCATTTCTATTTCACTGTAAAACTTAATTCAATTTTCTTGTTAATGGCTTCAAAGAGTTGTCTTAAACAATGTCCCACAGAATGGAGAAGATACGAAATAGATTGGTCGGTTAATCTTAACTATTTTTTACTTGAAAATATTTTTTTTTGTTTTTATTTGAAGTATGTAAGATATTTTGGTCAGATTATAGTTATATTTTTTATTATTTAATGTTATTGTGCTTTCACCAGATGAATTAATTACAGAACTATTTCCTGTTATACGGTGACTTGCAATTCATTGTTAAATGACAGTGTATTTTTGAAATACATACTCGTATGTACATATTTGTTATAGAAATATGAAAACTAATCATATTTTTATAAACTTAATACCTTTAACACCTCCAGGTAAATTTCTAAGAAATTAATTAAATTTCTAAGAAATCTATTGTTAACGTAATGCCGGCGTGTCAGCGGTGGTTGAGGGATTAATATCCACGTTATGTACTTAATGTGGATGCCGAATATGTTTGTAACGATCATATTATTTTATATATTTTATTTTGTACACACTCGTTATTATAATGTGAGAGCACCATAATAATTAAAAGAAAATTAATTATAAAGTTATGATACTATGTTAATATTATGTAGTTTTTATTTAAAAATATGGTATGTATATAGTAAACTTTCAAATAATTTGCAACATTAAAGTTATTTCAAAAGTTTACACGTCATAACAGATGTCGCTGGTATTGGTTAAGCGTTTGGACGTAGTGTTCTACAGCGAACGCTAGATGGCGGTATAAACATAATTATCTAAAATATACGTTTGTTATGCTCTTTCTTGTATTTAATTTATACAATATAATGGATGCTTTCTGGAAATTATCATTGAAAAAATAATGTGACAAAACTATAGTGCAAAATTAGAAGTGTGCCATTCATTTTACAATTTTTTGCCATAATATTATGTGAAAACTGTTTTTTTTTGAACTTTTTACGTAGGCCATACCTATTATGTTAAATACTTACAGCATATCAACTAAGATATTTTGAACTCATTTATTCATATGACTTGTTATATAAAATGGCGACTCCTTTATTGATAAGTGATGTTATAGCTATATTACAAAATATAATTATAGTGATATTGTACAATTAATATCTATCAAAGTTACTAAATATTTGTATTATATGGATTTTCCAAATAAAGTTTGGATAAATATCTTGTTTTTTATTTCACTGCACATGTTTCGTAAAACTAGGTTGTTTTTCTTCATTTTGTTTTCATCCTACGCAAAGTATGTGGTACCTAATCATGTTGAAAATGATTCGGACATAGGCTGGTTTTCTGTAACATAGATTGTAATTGATTGACAAATGTAATTGATTGTTCAAGATGGGTGGGTCTCGGGTTGAATTTTGGTAAAATCAAATGGCCATGTATCCCCGAAACTAGTGGTCGTGAATGGCGCTACCCTTGAAGTTGTGCAGGAATACGTAAATATGTAATATCTTGACCAAACTATACGGCTCATATATACCATACCAACTCAGTATACAATTTTTTTGTAAATAATATTGCCTCGATTTTATAAAGCGTGTGTATATTTTGAGTATAAAGCTTGAAGCTAAAAATTTTGACGACACTTTTGGCTCAGTTTTTAGTGACCCTTCTTGCTGTGCCAGCGGTCGCGAGTTCGAGTCCTGCTAGGGGCATTCATTTGTTTGATGAGCACGAATGTTTGTACTCCAGTCAAGGGTGTTTATATTTATAATATGTATATTGTAGATATGTATTTAAAGTTATATATGTGTAGTGTATGAACTAGATATCTAGTATCCATAACACAAGCCTCGCAGCTTACCATGGAACTAGATGGTGCTGAGTGTTAACAACCCAACACATTTATTTATTTATTATTTCTTTATAAGTACGGTTTGAATACACTTTTGTACAAACATGATTAGACCAGTATATACCTATAGGATAGGTATACAAAGCTAAAGCAATCTTCATACAAATTTCATAAAACACAGACGTTAGTTTGATGAAACGAAATAATTGATCGTGTACGTTACTCGAGATTGCAATTATGCTTCTAGCCGTCCTAACATGATCGTGTGCAATGGTACCTACTGCCTATTCCGCTAAAGGTGTTGCTCGTATTGGTTAAGTTTTTAAAGTGTCTTTACGTTTTAAAGTTTTATCTACCTTGCAAGAAAGACCAAATTACATTGTGAAACTAAATTATAAGTTAAGTTAGGTACATCTGCTTTCCCCCCCAACATGCGTTCACCTTGTCGTGGTGGGGGGGCTCAGTAGTGCCCGGCAACCCAACCGGGCGCGAAGCCAAGAAACGCACAGGGAGGTGGCCCACTTCGGTGGGCGGTGGGAGGTGGCCCTCTTCGGAGGGCGGTGTACCATGCGGGTTGCTCCTGGTACTTCTCTGATAGCAGAGTGGACCTTGGAGCAACCCCGTGGTTGTTGTGGTCTGCTTTGGCAGACCTGCCGTCGGGGCGTCGTAGTTGAATGCGTAAGCGATCCTGCGACGCCCCATTAAGACGGTGGAAGGCTTTGTTGGGTTTTAGTTGGCTTTGCCGGTGAGTCCCACACCTCGTGCGTAAATGCATTTCCCAACGTTAAAAAAAAAGGTACATCTGCTTTAATTAAAAAAACTAATAATACTGATTTACTGACAGACAACGCATAGCATGAACCACTGGGTCTAGAACAGCCATACTCAACCTTTTTTTTATAGGGGCCACAAATACGTTTCAGTTATGGTGCCGAGGGCCGCAAGCAAAAATTGTTTAAGTCTTAATTAAAACGTAATTCCAAGTTAACGATGTAGTTACTGTTTTAACAAAGATGTTTATATGTTTTAATGCGATTTTTGATACTGTGAACCAGTTTTTCAAAACTTTATCAAGATCTGGCTTGTCGCTACATGCTATCCTTATAACATCATCCAGATGAGAATCTGTAAGTTTGTTTCTGTAAGCGTTCTTTGTGTATCCATTTCTCCAAAATTCCACATATTCTCTGTTTTTCCTTTTTTCTTTAAACCGAACTTCTAGATTGGTATCGTTTTCAAAATCGATGAACTCATCAAACAATTCTGAGTAATTACAATTTAAAACGGAATCCAACTCTGAGATGTAACTTCAGATGAGCCAATAACAAAGGCCCGGCGGGACGCATGCGGCCCGCGGGCCGCAGGTTGAGGTCTTGAGTATAGCTGGTCTAGAAGCAAGAAATTTTGCATGAGTTCTAAGGAACTTCTAGATAAGTCTAGTAAAAAATAATAACACACGTACAGACGAACATCGAACCTCCTTGGAACCTTTTTGGAAGTCGTTTAA